CACTTTTCCTGTATCTGGCGGGCAGCAAAGATCATGTCAGTGGTGCCACGTGATGGTCTAAAGCCACATTGACATTCTGGGAGGAAGTCTTCCGCCTCAGGAAGAAGTCTGTTTAGGAGGACTCTGGCTATAATCTTGCCAGCTACGGAGAGCAGCGAGATCCCAAGGTAATTGCCACAGTCTGACCGGTCCCCCTTGTTCTTATAAATATTGACAATGGAGGCATCTTTCAGAGATTGGGGATTTCCTCCTTTTCCCATATATTCTCCAGGAAAGAGTGGAGACGGCTGGTAAATAGAGGTCCTCCTGCTTTATACACCTCGGCTGGGATTCCACCAGGCCCTGAGGCTTTGTTAATTTTCATTTGTTTGATGGCAGTAACTACCTCATCCAGGGATGGAAGATAGCTGAGGTGGGTCATCTCTGGATGCTGAGGGACCTGCTGGGTAGTCAGGACATCCATATCGGTGTTTCGGTTGAGCAATGAATGGTAGTGCTCTTTCCAGCGCTGAAGGAGGCCTTCATCGTCTTTAATTATGTGGTTACTGTCAAATGAGCGAAGGGGGGCTGCGCCACGAGCGACTTACCCATAAAATTTTTCAGTGGAAATGAAAAATTCGAGCATCTCGTGCTGATCTGCAGGTTTTTGTATTTCACATGCTTTATTTGTAAGCCAGTCATTCTTTAGATGTGAAGTTCCTGCTGGGCCGCCGCTTTCTTCTTGCAGAAGTTATCAGCTTTGGTCCGAGACTGAGGTTTGTACTGGCAGTCAGTAAAAGCAGAACGTTTATCATTGATTAGTACTTTGATTGCCGGGTCATTTTCATCAAACCAGTCCTGGTGTATTCTTTTGAACTGGCTGAGGGTCTCTCTGCAGGTCTTTGTCATAACAGTGTTAAGAGTATCTCATTCAGCACTGGGATTCACGTTGTTTGCTGTTGGGTTGTTTATATGCCTATGTTCGAGTTACTCTCTGAAAGCATGTGCTACTGCTAGGTCCTGCAGATGCTTAGCATTAAAATCTCTTATGGAGGATTGCTGCCTTCGCCGTTTTGGGCCGACATGAAGTGAGAGCTTGGCTCTGATAAGTCGATGATCAGTGTCACAATGGTCTGAGCCACGCATTGCTCGGGTAATGAGGACATTTCGACTATATCTTTCTCTGACAATGATGTAGTCAATGAGATGCCAGTGTTTGGATCGTGGGTGTTGCCACGAACTTTTGAACTTGTCTGCCTGCCTAAACAAGGTATTGGTGATAGTGAGGTTGTGTGCAGCACAGTTGCTGAGAAGGAGTATGCCATTGGGATTACACTTACCTAGTCCATTTCTCCCTATGGTTCTTTGCCAAATATTAGCATCTCTGCCAACTCTGGCATTGAAGTCGCCAAAGAGCACAACCTTGTCTTCTCTGGGGATAGAGGTTAGCACTCTGTCGTGGTTGGCATAAAAGGCCTCCTTGATGTCATCCTCTGCATCCAGTGTTGGGGCATATGCACTGATGAAAAAGGCATGACGAGGGATTCAGTGGGACTCTAAGCCTCTTGAGGCATTCGTTGATTCCAGTAGGCATTTAAGTTAGCCTGCGTTGACTGATGGCAAAGCCAACTCCATAAATGCGGTTTCTCTCCGCAGCAGGCTTACCCTTCCAGAAGAAGGTGTAGCCAGACCCCTGTTCTGTGAGTTGGCCCCCATCTGGGAGCAGGGACTCACTGATGGCTGCTATGTCGATGTTATACCTAGCCAGCTCTTTTGCCACAAAGGCACTTCTTCTTTCAGGACGCACATTTGTGCCAGTATCCAGAAGAGTCTTGAAATTCCATGCAGCGACCATAAAAGGTTGTATGGTTTGTTTTTGTTTGGATCTGTGATTTTTTACTGTGTTTTCGACTGCATAAGGATGACCTTACTGGGTCAGGTTTGGTTTTTAGTCAGGCTATGTTTAGGGCACCTCTTCTAGCCCCCTCCCCATGTGGGGTGAGCAGAGTGGCTCCTTGTAAAGTCTGCTCAGTCGCTCAAACAGGACTGGATTGCACTGCTGCCTAGATCCCAGTGCATAAATGACCATCATATCTGTGCCACCCATGTGCAGAGTTATGACTAGAGACTCCCGGTACTCATCTCTGCCTTTCCCCGTCGCCACTCGTCCGTCGCCATAGGACTTTTGGCTGGGTATAAGGGGTTTTTTGATGATGAGAGGTATGATGAACTGGGTGATGGCTGCTCGTGAGTTGATTTATGTGGTGAGGCCGGAGCGCAGGCTGCTACCACACATCTTGGCTCTCCTTTTTCCTGATCCAATGGTGCAAGTATTGCAATGACTGGGGAGAGGAAGAGTTGCAATGGACTGCCAATAGCCCAGTTTGTTGCATTTCGCCTTAGTAACCTGTCCCTCGGGCATTGCATTCATCTGCTGGTGTAGTCGTTGGGTTGTCCATGGTGGTCACCTTTTCCGCCTACATCGCCGTTGGGGTCTTGTTGGAGCTCTGTAAGCATGTCTGCCTGATGTGAGGCTCCACTGCAGATTTTTTTCTTAAGGGATTTACCCCCGTAGCCTTATACCTGCCAAGGTTAATCTGCAAGGCAGCAGGCGGTGGTTGGTAGATGCCAGGATGTGTCCACATGCCAGTGAGCCTATGCGCCATCCCTCTGGGGCCCACTGCTACTCCGAGATGTCTTGCTGGTCTAGCCTGGGCTCACGAGGCACCCAGTTACCGTGTATTGCCACGGGGAGGCACAGCAGGAGTCTTGATGGTGAGGAGGCTGTGTACTGGCAAGGAAAGACTTGAGCAAGTTGCTTCCCTGTTCGCCACGAGGGCTAACCAGCGACGGTAACTGAAAGCGAGAGGGAGCAAGCAGTGCTTGCACCTTAACACTAACATAATGCTGCCACACTAGACGCATTTCACTAGACATGTGGCAGTTGCCGCCTGCCGCTGTGAAACCGCCATCACCTGTGCCTCCGCACCGTACCCGCATCCACAACGCACGTGAGGCAAGGAAAAAACTCGCCAGGTGACCTGGTGGTGTCGACTGCGTTCCCACCCCCAACTGGGGCATCTGCAACGTGCCAGCGTCCCCGCCGTGTGAGAAGACACCCATCACACCTTCAAGACCACGTTTGTGGTGTGTCTGCTATGGACAATGAATTCTGACTTATTTTGTTTCATGGGCATTCGTATATTTATGTACTGTGTTGCATGTTAGGACAGTTTTGCTTTATTTTATTTTTGTTTGTTTTGTTTTGTGTCACAACTTGCCCACTATAGGTTCCTATTGGTCTGAGATCTTTTAACAAAATGTTAAATTCAGCTATTAAAATCTCGTGGCTGGGTGTAGGGTTTGTATGTATGCATATGTGTAGGCGTGACTGAAGCAGATGCTGTATGACAGTGTGGGCTAAGTCCCGGCAGGGTGGGAGGCGGTTGGCGTGATTCTGCGACGTGTGCGTGACTGACCAGCGAGGATCGATTGCTTGGGGGAATTAGAAGCCACTCTCTGTAAGGACATCTCATCAATAAAAGCAAGATGACTCTCCACTGTTATTGGATCTCCTACAGAAACCTTGATGGTTTTTAAAACCGCTACTGAACTTACAGTATGAATTATTTAGTGCATGAGGAAATACTCTACAGTAAGTGCTCTGATTGGTTAAGGCAGGTAATACTGTACATTAGTAAGTGCAACATATCTTAATTTTTTTTTTATTCGGGATATTATCACTGGTACAGTGGTCGGTTAACGAACACAATCCGTTCCAGCAGGTTGTTCGTTAACCGAAAAATTCGTTAACCGAAACCATTGTTTCAATGGGTTTTTGGGTAATTGGTTCCAGCTCACCGAAAATTGCCTAAATTCAACAAAAATGGTAGAAAAGTTCACTTACTTTGAGGTGTGTATGTAGAAGGCTCCTGGATGATGATGATGATGATGGGAATTAGAATGGGGGTGGAGGAGAAGGAAGAAGAGAAGGCATTGGGGTGGAAGAGAAGTCACCCCATGGCACCATTTCTCCCATAAAATTTTAGTTCTCTTGGTGTATTTCAAGATTATTTTCTTTAAATCAACACTGCACTGCATTATATATTGTCAATATGTAAAATATATTTCAAAATGACCAATAATTTGCTTGGAAACACAGAAAAAAAGCGTTTAGTTGAAGAGTCTCAAGCAAGATGTTACCTCCAGTGAAAACAGAGAGAGACTAACGCCTGTTTGCTGTGTTAAGAGGCTGGATGCCGCGCATTAAACTAGTCACTTTACCTTCAGTTATGTTCAATAATTGTTAAAATGACAAAAAAATTGAATATTAAACTTTTAAAATTATTGAATAGTATAAACTTCTTGATATTTACTAAAATAGTAAGGAATTTAAGCCCTAGAACCGATTAATGTATTGGCGGACTAATACTAAAGCTGGTTGACCGGCCAGTGCAAGCGAAAACATGTTGAGGTCGGTTCGTAAGAAATTCGTTAACCGAATTTTTTTTCGTTAACCGAATTTAAGAATCTTTTGGGAGGCAGTTCGTTAACCGAAATTTCGTTAACCGAGGGACCACTGTATTTTCTTAAGCGAAAAGCTAACCTGTTGTTCTGTTAGGATTGATGATTTTGTCCTACCTTGTGACATTCTTTCTCAGGCTCAAGTTACACCTTTTGGACAAACATTTACTGTAATTTGTGATAAAAATATTTGTCAAAGATGACAACACATCCAACAGTATCTACTGTGTATTTTTAATTTTCATCTTTCATTTTGTACACGAATGAAAAGTTATGAAGGTTTATTAGCTGAAGATTTTGTTTATATCATTTTGTGCATAAAATATCATATGTAACTCTTTTATGATGGTTGATGGTATGGTACGATGGGGTTACAATTACTGTTCCACAAAATTCACTTAACTGCTTTGTCATGAACATGTGAAATTAGTGTGACTACTGTAGTAGCTACTTGATAAATCTTCATATAAAAATTTAACCGTAATTTGTTCTTTCAGATTTGGTGAAGATAAGAAATATGATTACAGAATGATCGTTATGTATGATGGCATTCATTATGATCCTGTTTATATGGAAACTTTTGAGGTAAGATTTTTAGTAATTTTAAAAATTATAGAATAGGTACAGTACAGTACAGTACAGTACAATACAATACAATACAGTACAGTACAGTACAGCACAGTACATTACAGTACAGCACAGTACAGTACAGTACAGTATGCGCAGTACAGTACTGTATAGTACAGCACAGTATAGCACAGCACAGTACAGCACAGTAGAGTATCGCACAATAGAAGTACAGCACAGTACAGTACAGCATAGTACAGTACAGCATAGTACAGTACAACACAGTACAGTGGTCCCTCGGTTAACGAGCACAATCCGTTCCAGCAGGTTGCTCGTTAACCGAAAACTCGTTAACCGAAACCATTGTTTCAATGGGTTTTTGGGTAATTGGTTCCAGCTCACCGAAAATTGCCTAAATTCAACAAGAAAGGTAGAAAAATACACTTACTTTGAGGTGTCTATGTAGAAGGCTCCTGGATGATGATGATGATGATGATGGGAATTAGAATGGGGGTGGAGGAGAAGGAAGAAGAGAAGGCATTGGGGGTGGAAGAGAAGTCACTTCATGGCACCATTTCACCCATAAAATTTTAGCTCTCTTGGTGTAATTCAAGATTATTTTCTTTAAATCAACACTGCACTGCATTATATATTGTCAATATGTAAAATATATTTCAAAATTACCAATAATTTGCTTGGAAACACAGAAAAACAGTGTTTAGTTGAAGAGAGTCTCAAGCAAGATGTTACCTCCACTGAAAACAGAGAGAGACTAACGCCTGTCTGGTGTGTTAACAGGCTGGATGACACGCCAGAAACTAGTTTCTTTACCTTCAATTATGTTCAACAATTGTTAAAATGACTAAAAAAGTTAATATTAAACTTTTAAAATTATTGAATAGTATAAACTTCTTGATATTTACTAAAATAGTAAGGAATTTATGCCCTAAAACCGATTACTGTATTGGCGGACTAATACTACAGCTGGTGGACCACCAAATGCAAGCGAAAACATGTTGAAGTCGGCTCATAAAAAACTCGTTAATCGAGGGATTGCTCGTTAACCGAAGTTAAAAATCTTATGGAAGGTAAATCGTTAACCGAAATCTCGTTAACTGAGGCGCTCGTTAACCGAGGGACCACTGTACAGCACAATACAGCACAGTACAGCATGATACAGTGTAGCACAATACAGTGGGGTATGCTATAACGAATCTAATTGGTTCTAGAACCTTGTTCGTTATAGCATTCGTTCGTTATAGGATTAATCCGTTCCAGGCCCCCAAATACAACCACTTAACACTGAAAAATATAATATAAAAATGTAAAAATTGTAAAAAAAGTGCATAAATATGCATCTAGACCCCTGAAATAAAGAATATCATTAATACTTGTAATAAAAAAACAATAAATTAGTAAAAAAAAAAAAAAAAGATAATAATAATAATAATGTTTGTTGTAGGAGTTTCGTTCTTTATAGCATTCTCAATTTTATAGGTAAAACCGTTCGTTATAGGAATATTCGTAGTAGAATCCATTCGTTATAGCATACCCCACTGTACAGTACAGCACAATACAGTACAGCACAGCACAGTACAGTACAGCACAATACAATACAGGACAATACAGTACAGCACAGTACAGTACAATACAGTACAATACAGTACAGTACAGTACAGTACAGTATAGTACAGCACAGTACAATACAATACAGTACAGTACAATACAGTGCAGTACAGTTCTGTACAGTATAGTACAATACAGTACAGTGCAGTACAGTACAGTACATCACAGTACAGCACAGCAAAATACAGTACAGTACAGTACAATACAGTAGAGTACAGTTCTGTACAGTATAGTACAGTACAGCACAATACAGTACAGTACAGTTCTGTACAGTATAGTACAATACAGTACAGTGCAGCACAATACAGTACAGCACAATACAGTACAGCACAGTACAGTACAGTACAGCACAATACAATACAGGACAATACAGTACAGCACAGTACAGCACAATACAGTACAGTACAGTATAGTACAGCACAGTACAATACAATACAGTACAGTACAATACAGTACAGTACAGTTCTGTACAGTATAGTACAGCACAATACAGTACAGCACAGTACAGTACAGTACAGCTAAGCCCAGTACAGTACAGCACAATACAGTACAGTACAACACAGTACAGCACAGTACAGTACAATGCAGCACATTACAGTACAATACAGTACAGTACAATACAGTATATTACAGTACAGTACAATACAGTCCAGTACAGTACAATACAGTACAGTACAATTCAATACAATATCGTACAATACAGTACAATACAATACAATACAGTACAGTACAATACAGTACAGTACAATACAATACAGTACTGCACAATACAGTACAGCACAGCACAGTACAATACAGTACAGCACAGTATAATACAGTACAGCACAGTTTAGTACCATACAGCACAGTACAGTACAGTACAACAAAGTACAGTACAATACAGTACAGCACAGTACAGCACAGTACAGTACAATACAATACAGTACAATACAATACACAATTCAATACAGTATAGTACAGTACAGTACTGCACAGTACAGCACAGTACAGTACAGTACAGTACAATGTTATGTGTGAAATAATGATAGAGAGGGCATCAACCAATGACCTCTGGTATTCAACTGTTAAACACCCTCTAAAAGTCTTCATATGTTAAATGGCAGGATACACTGTCCAGACAGACATCACCACATGTTTTTCCTGCAAACAGCCCAGTGGCAGGATTACACAGGAGGATAATGATTGACCTTCCAAGTTACATCCTGTGTGGTATCTCAGCAGATCACCAATAACTATACAGGTGTGGGACCATTTATCCGTCGTCCTGATATCCGGAACTCTCCAAAAACGGGTTATGTTCTGGAAGAAATTATTTTAAATGAGCACCAAGTACAACATGCCCTTAAAATTCACAAGGGTTTGGGTCTCAAAATGGCTGTGAAAGACCAAATCTGCTAATATCATTTCCTGTCAATTTTTTATTTTTTTACATTATTTTAAGTACAGTTTTTTTTTTTTTTTTTATTGGGAACTCCCCTACATCATTGGGTAAGGTGAAACGCAGAAGCGTTTACAGCGCCCAACAGAGAAGCATGCTAAGTTCATGCTTGCCTTTATGTCTCATGAGTTAAGGGCGTAGAAGCCTGAAGAGTCAAGGGCGTGGAAGCCTGAAGAGTCAGTGGTTTATGTCATCAAGTTATTGGAAGCTCCAACAACTTGTCCCTGAATACGAATTCGCAACTTTCGACTTACAACAGGTACCTACTTTACTGCTAGGTGAACAGGGACTAATGGGGGCTACGAAGTAAGTCCAAACAACTTCCACCGGCCCGGGAATCGAACCCGTGACATCTCGCTTGCGAGGCAAGAATGGTACCGCTTCTACCACCGATCCCCATTTTAAGTACAGTGAACCTTGAAGATCCGGATAAAATGGGGGACCACTGTCCAAAGAAGCCAATTGTCTGAATCCTCTGGTGAATCTACTAAATGTATAAAAACGATAAATAATGAAATAAAAAACGCTAAAACTTCAGTATAGTACCGTATTTTATGGCATTTAAGGCGCACAGTGTGGATTTTCCTCCTGTAGTCATAGTTTTCTTAAAATAATATATACAGCACCAGGAAATGTGAGAAATAAAATTACTACCAATAAATAAGTTACAACAAAAAATACTGTACAGTAATACCCCGCTTTACGCAGTTCTCGTTTACGCATTTCTACATTTACGCAGTACCCTGCCAGAACCAGAATTCCCACTTTACGCAGTGCATCTACTCATATACGCAGGTGAAGTATAATTCTTTTATTTAGCTCATAAAATTCATACAAATTACCCGGCCAGAATATAATTTACATTGCTGGAATTCTTACAATATGATGATCATTTTGAAAATAAACATCATGGGTTTTGCATTAGACATACAAATTTTAGATCTCATGTAAAAATTTTGTTTACACAGAGCAAATATGTTATCTTTTATGCAAAATATATGAAGTGTACTGTATATTCAAAATATTCCTGGTCTTGCAAGGAATCCAGCAGTGTCAATTATATTATCCTAACTTTAGTCTGAGGTATTATTTATTACTAAAAATGTAAATATACTGTTTTAACCCAAACATTTCTCTGGTAGCGAGGGGAGGGAAGGGGGGGGTGGGGTGGTAGGGAGGGAGGGAGGGACCCAGCGAGCGTGGGAAGAGGGGGGGAGCCGGAGGTGGGGTATTTTGATTGACAGATAGTGTCTGGGTGGAGCATATTTTTTTTATTTACTGAAGATATGTGTTTTAGCTCATAAAATTCATACAAATTACCCGGCCAGAATATAATTTACATTGCTGGAATTCTTACAATATGATGATCATTTTGAATACAGTGGTCCCTCGGTTAACGAGCACCTCGGTTAACGAGATTTCGGTTAACGAGTTACCTTCCATAAGATTCTTAACTTCGGTTAACGAGCAATCCCTCGATTAACGAGTTTCTTACGAGCCGACCTGAACATGTTTTCGTTTGTGTTTGGCGGTCCACCAGCTGTAGTATTAGTCCGCCAATACAGTAATCGGCTATAGGGCTTAAATTCCTTACCATTTTAGCAAATATCAAGAAGTTTATACTATTCAATAATTTTAAAGTTTAATATTAAATTTTTTTAGTAATTCTAACAATTATTGAACATAATTGAAGGTAATGAAACTAGTTTTATGCACGCCATCCAGCCTCTCAACACACCATACAGGCATCAGTCTTTGTGTCTTTTCAGTGGAGGTAACATCTTGCTTGAGACTCTCTTCAACTAAATGCTTTTTTTCTGTGTTTGCAAGCAAATTATTGGTCATTTTGAAATTTATTTTACATATTGACAATATATAATGCAGTGCAGTGTTGATTTAAAGAAAATAATCTTGAATTACACCAAGAGAACTAAAATTTTACGGGTGAAATGGT